TGAACTTTTTCCAGGTGTACAGAGCGATCCAGACTCTATCCCAGCCTAAATGGCACTGAGAACAGACTGTGCATCTCTGATACTTGACAGACAAACCTCTCCTGCTTTTGCTAAAAAAACAACAGCTAGAGATTTTTTTCACCACAGTTTTCATCCCAACACTCGGAGAAGAGATTGGTTTTAACCTTACAAACCTCTAAATTTTTACCTAGAAAAAGCCTGTGGGTGGGGACAGTAGAGTTTAATTTTGTAATTTTGTTTCTTCTTTTTCTCCAGACTGATCAGGAGTTTAGAATCCCAGACTGGTTGGAAGGGACCTTAAAGCTCATCTCATTCCACCCCCTACCATGGGCAGGGACACCTCCCACCAGACCAGGACACTTGGGACAAGGTAACAAAGATTACTGGAGCCATCAAGTGAGAACTGCAGATAACTCAAACCAGCACACACCTTGAGGGGATCCCAGTTCTTGAAGTATTCCTTCATGAGAGGATAAACTATGGCCACTGCCAGGTCCACCCTGTCTGACATCCTGTACTCCTCATAGTACTTGTCCTGCAGAGTCTCAAAGATCTTCGCACACTCATCCAGGGTCAGAGGGTTCTCACAGCCCGGCTGCATCCGCCTCTCACACTCCTCCACCATGTCCAGCACCTTGCTGAGGTTGCTGATGGCCTTCTCCTCGTGGGACAGCACCTCAGCCATCTTCTGGATCTCGTGGCTGAGGTTGACCACCATGTCCCTCTCGTACTGCAGCTGCCGGTCGCTCTGGATGATCTCCTGCTCCGTGATGTCGATGAGCAGCTGCAGGTTGTGCTCCAGCTCGGGCAGAGCAAAGCCCTGGGGCTTGGAGTCCTTGCCCAGGGGCTGCTGGGGGCTGTCATCTGGGATGTTGTGCTTGTGGCTGATCTGGCTGTAGCTGTAATAAACCTTCTGCTCCCGGCCCGTCATGTCAATCACCTGCCAGCACACACAACAAATTCTCTAACAAAAAACTCTCGGCTTCAAAAAAAGAGAAAATCCCTGGCTCCAAATTGAAATCTGGAGATTTTCAAGGACCTTAATTACTCCAGGAGGCTGCTAACATATGCTGTATTTGAACAAGGGGATTGCCTCCACAATCAGACACAGGAGTTACAAAAAGTAAGAGACAATCTGGAATCAGAGCTGGAAGAAGCATCTCCTCATCTCATCCCAGTTTCACTGAATGACTCTAAAAGCAGTAATCTTGCCATTAGTTACTGCACTTAGAACTTTTATAATTTAATAAAGATACTTTAATTTCAGATTCATAATTTTATTGAATGCACACCAGACAAAGCCCTTACTGTCCCTTTGAGGTAGAAGATCAAACAATCCCAAAAACGACAACTGTGCTGTCAGAAGTGGGTGAGTGTGAAACAATTAAACTTATTGCAATTAACCCCCGACACTCACATTTAATTGAACTTGTCACCACATCCAGATGACACAGAGCTATTACATGGCTTAGGGATGAGCTCCATGAGGCTGCACAGGAATTCCTAGGACTGGCTTTACTGAGGTTACTGGTGCTTAAAATGTGCTGGTGACACCAAAGAGCCCAAACTGTTCCTCCAGGGGTCACCTCTTGGCTTATCAACCTCACCTTGACCTGGGACAGCTCCTTCTGAGGGGCTGCAAGCTGCTTGCTGATCCTGCCCTTGGCTTTCAGCTCTTCCACTGTCTTGTAGCTGTACTTGGGCTTTTTCTTGCCTCCATTCGGGTCCTTCCGCCACTGGCTGAGCTCCTTCTGAAATTCCTGGACAAAAACAGCAGAGTTGTGGTAGCTGCTCTTTGTCACACCCCAATTCTGCCTCTTTTCACAGGAAAATAACCATCAGATCCATGAGGAATTTGTACAGGAAATAACTGGGAAGTGGAAAAGCTCATGCCAAACCAGCTCGGATGCTGTGGGCCAGTCACCCACCCTGTGGATTAAATTAACAGGATGCTCCTGGTCTTTTTCTTTTATTTAAACAAAAGACAAGGACTATTTATGTGGGGGACTCTTCAAAGGAGGGATTCTAGCAAAGCTAGAGAAATAGAGTAAGACAGAAACAACAAAGAACATTACAGCAACAAGGAAGATCAGCCTAAACAAAATCAACGTGCTGTGTTTGGCTTACCTAAAATGAGCCCAAACAGTTTTCTCTGACACACAGAAATCAAGAAAACTGAATTCTGTACACACAGCATAGCAGGGAAACAGCAAGAGCCCCAGGAATACCTCCTCAGTTTCCTCTTCTGAGTCCACCACAGGGAAGTCCTGCAAGGACTGTGGGGTCCTCTCAGAGCCGTAAGCACCCACAGCACCTTTGCCTTTCCTCTGCTTGGCCTCGATGGGATTGATGATTCCTGGCAGGATGGGAATGGGGTCAGCAGGAGCAGTTTGTGTGCTGGGAGAGAGCTGAACAGCCAGGCTTTCCCTATGAGTTACCAGATCAGCACCAACACCCTCCCTGGCACTGCCTCCAGCACCGTGGTACTTCCAACATCACCAATTCCCTATAAAATCACTTCATCCCAGCACACACCAAACTGCCAAAGCACAGCCTTACTCCCAACCACATTTCACTGCCTTTTTATTCTGCCACATTAAAACAGCATCTCCTTTCCCGTGGGATGACCACCTTTGGAATTTACTGCCATTTTCCCTGCTCTTTTTCTCTTGTAAAATACCCAGAGGAGCAAACGAGCACAGGTCAGTTTGAACACCCCTGAATCTCACCACAGGGCCCGGATCACTGGCAGGAAAACAAGAAGGAATTTAAGCCAGCTGGCAGCTCTTTAAGGAATCCAACCTCTCCCCAGAACCCCCAGTTAATAATAATAAACCACCAAACACACTGACAGTACCTTGAGCATTTTTCCCCAGACCCCTGCCAGGGACATATCCCATCTTCTGGAGAAGCTTCTGCCCAATTCCTTTAGTGTGTCTCTCCCAGCTGCCAAAATCCACGAAGGACTTGGAGCCCCCTACGAAGCCTTTCTGGCTGGGCTTGAAATTTCCACCCTGTCAAAAACAAACACACAAAAACCTGCAGTCCTGAGGCTTCAAATAACCAAAGTGTGCAAAACTCCCCTCAGAAGGTTCTTCCTCCCCATACTGGAACCTTGCTTGTGCATCCGTGAAGCACCACTGGAGATTCCTGAAATTCCTCAGATTGGAAAGGAAAATCCTGAAAAAACTCTGGCTGACAACCTGACAGCTCTCAGGTTCCACCACCAGATTTAGCTGAAGCTGATTCCTGATTCTTTCTGGTTTTAACTGAAAAGAAGGGTTTGAGTTTTAATCTATAACATGCCTGGATTTGTTAATTCTGTGAAAGTAGAAAAATAAAGTCTCTGAAAGGCAGGAAACCACAGGAATTCCCTTCTTTAAACCTCCATGGACGAAAGGGAATATTGAAAAAAATGAGAGAACTGATCCCCAAGGACACACAGTTATTATATCAATGTACAATTGTACCAATGATTTATTATCCTGATTTTTATCAATGTATTTGTATCAATGATACAAAATCCTAAGCAAACACCTCCCTTACTGACACATTTGGGCCTGTGGTTTAATTATTCCTCCCTTTTTTTTTAGTGCTTTATTACATCTCACTGTCCTCGACCACAGCCTGAGTTTCACAAACCTAAAACAGAGAACAGCAAATTTCCTGGAGAACTCACTGTTTTCAACTTCTTGGGCACAAACTCCTTGGGAATCTCCTCCTGCTTCACAGGTTTCTCATCCTCATCCGAGTCCTCATCCGAGAGCTCCTCGGCCGCCCCCTTCCTCAGCCCAGCGCTCACAAAGCTCACGGGGGCCGAGTAATCCCTGGAGCTGAGAAAGGAGAGGGAATGCTGCTCATTCCTGCAGGAGCCTGGGGGCTGCTGTGCCTTACACCCCCCAAAAATGGGATATTAAAGGCTGCCGAGCTGCTCAACCCTGCTTTTGTCAGGCAATCCCCATCCTCCTCCCCGTGCTGCAGGGAGTGAGCACAGGGAAAATCCACACAGGTGAGAGGGGCAGCCCGGCCCGGGATGGGCTGCTCGGGTGGGTGTCCACAGCCGGGAAAGACCCAGGGAACGAGGGAAAAGCTCCAGGGAACGGGGAGGGAGCCCCAGGGAACGGGGAAGGAGCCCCAGGGAACGGGGAAGGAGCCCCAGGGAACGGGGAAGGAGCCCCAGGGAACGGGGAAGGAGCCCCAGGGAACGGGGCAGCTCCTGGGGTCCCTGAGCGGCCCGGGGGTCCCAGCCCGGCCGTACCGCTTCCCGCCGAAGCTGGGCCGCTCCTCGTCCGAGTCTCGCTCGGCCCACACGCCGTAGGTCGCCTCCTCCTTGGTCTGACGGTGTCGCTGCCGGTGCGGGTTGAATTCGTTCTGCAGGTCCCAGTCCGAGACCTCGAAGCTCTCCATCTCCACGCCATCGTCTCCGTCCGTGCCGTACAGGTGCGACATCGACATCGTGGCACCTCCGGGATGTCCCCGGCCCGCTCAGGGACCTCCGGCCCCCTCAGGAACTCCTGACCCAGGATCCCCGGCCCGTTCACGGACCCCCGGCCCCCTCAGGAACTCCTAACCCGGGACCCCCGGCTCTCTCAGGAACTCCTGACCCGGGATCCCCGGCCCCCTCACGGACCTCCGGCCCCCTCAGGAACTCCTAACCCGGGACCCCCGGCCCGTTCACGGACCTCCGGCCCCCTCAGGAACTCCTAACCCGGGACCCCCGGCCCGTTCACGGACCCCCGGCTCCCTCAGGAACTCCTAACCCGGGACCCCCGGCCCCCTCACGGACCCCAGCAACGGCCCCGGCCGCGGCGCCACACCGGATGCGCCCCTTCACTTCCGGTCCGCTCCAGCCGCGCGCAAGCCCCGCCCCCAAACCATAGAGTCGGCAAAGCGGAGCGGCCGCGGAGGTGGCGCCGCCTTGTGGCCCGGAGGAGTACAGAGGGAGGAGCCCGCGCGATTAATAATTAAAATATTAAATATCAAATCAACACTTTAATGGTGTTCGACACCAGGGGTGGGGTGGGGTGGGATGGGGGGCATATATTAACTCTGCAATAGGCTCTGCAGGGTCAGGGAGGCGGTTGGGGGGAGGGCACACACACCACAAAGGCTCTTCAAGGCCAGGGGGCTGTTCCTGACCCTGGGAATTGGAAACAGCAGGACCAGGGTGGCTCTTCCCGATCCCAGGAATACAGAACAGCAGGGATGGGAGGGCTGTTCCTCCCACACCGGGAACACGAGACACACACGCCATGTACGGAGTCCTCCAGCCACAGCACGGGGAATCTCCTCCCGTCCCCCCGGGTTTCCACAGCTGCATTCCCCACGGAGCGCTGCGACCGGCCGGGGACGTTCCCGCTGTGGAGCACGTTTGGCCTTTGCAAATAAATGCAAATACATTCCTGGAGCGCAGTCATTTGGCAACAGTAGGAACAAGCAATATGCTTGGAGAACAGATTTCCACGGGCCCACTGCACGCTCTTCCTTCTCGGGCAACAACAGGCTGTTGGCAGCGTTCTGGAAGAGACAAAACACAGAACCTCAGGGGCAGGATCCCCTCAGGAGCAGGATCCCCTCAGGAGCAGGATCCTCTGAGGGCCGGGATCCCCTCAGGGCCAGGATCCCCTCAGGGCCAGGATCCCCTCAGGGCCAGGATCCTTTCAGAAGCAGGATCCCCTCAGGAAGAGGATCCCCTCAGACTAGCACAGCAATGCCTGACTGAGGGTTTAAAGATGACACAAAAAATGGCCGGAAAGGAACCAATTCTCAGCCTAGGACAAGGGGACACACAATTCCTGATCTTCCCTCAGTGCTTCTGATCTTTTTCTAGCCCAACCATCTGCTTGTAGACAGAAACTTGCTCTTAAAGGATCAGTTTTAGTACCAAGAATGGTATTTTATGCTTTAGCATGGAGGAAGAACATCCAACACATCAACAGTTGTCTCTTGAGCAGCAGCCCAAGGCAGCAGCTTTGTTTTCCATCATGTTTTCCTTTGTTTTCTATCCCCTTCCTCAGGTCCATGGCACGTCTTTGGAGGCAGCTGGGGAGCAGCTCAGCTCATCCACACATTCCATGTGTCCCTGCTACCCGCAGGGACAGGCTGCAATAACCCTCCCAGGCAGCTGAGTTTCATTTCGCAGCTTTAATCCCCTTCCCAGAGTTCAGGAAAAGAATTCCTTACAAATGGTCCCACACAGCAGCATTGTGTGGGAAGATCTGAGGCGACTGTGAAGGATCCCTGGCACCAGGAGTGTGCCTGGAACCCCAGCAGATCCACAGAAATCACACAAACCAAGTGCTGGTCCTGAAGCAACGCAGGATTTGCCCAAATCCCAAAATTAAGTAAATAGGGTCTTACCTGGAAATCATTAATTTTCTTAGTGAGAAGATGACGTGTTCTGAGTCACCTGGAAGAGCCCCAGAAGAGAAGGGTCAGCTTTGAGCCAGCATTCCTCAGGGAAGGGAGCAGGGAGCAGGTACCCTGGTGTGTCCCAAACCCTCAGGGTACACCTGGCTCTTACCTGCAGGTGACCTTTGAGATTGGCCGGTGTTTTATAATCCCCCTTTAAAACCTGTGGGAAAGAGAACCTGGAGTGACCCCCTGGGGCAGTGGAATCAGCTCTGGGTCACTGCTGTCAGCCATTCCCAGCCTTGCCAGGGAAAAGGCTGCACCTTGAGTGCTCTGTCCTGCTCTGGGCCCCTCTCCCCAAAACAGATATGGAGAGGCTGGAGCGTGTCCAGAGAAGGGAACAGAGCTGGGGAAGGGGCTGGAGCACAAGGAACAGCTGAGGGAGCTGGGAAAGGGGCTCAGCCTGGAGAAAAGGAGGCTCAGGAGGGACCTTCTGGCTCTGCTCAACTCCCTGAGAGCAGGGGACAGCCAGGGGGGTCGGGCTCTGCTCCCAGGGAACAGGGACAGGAGAGAGGAAACTGCATCAAGCTGTGCCAGGGGAGGGTCAGGTTGGACACCAGGAGGAATTTCCTCATGGAAGGAGTGGTCAGGGACTGGAAGGGGTTGCTCAGAGGGGTTTGGAGTCCCCATCCCTGAGGTGTCCAAGGAACGTGTTCCATGTGTCACTCAGTGCTCTGGGCTGGTGACAAAGTGGGGACCAGGCATAGGTTGGACTCGATGGCCCTGGGAGGCCTTTCCCATCCTGAATGACTCTGGAATTCTGTGATTCTGTTTTCCCTGTGTGAGCCTGTTTCCCCCCTGCTCCATCCCAATCCGGTTCAGGAGCTTCCCTTGCTCTGTGAGCCCCTGGCCTGTCCCCTCCATGGCAGTGCCACTCACCCTGTGCGTGTTGTTGACAACCAGCGGGTCGGGGTGGCCGTAGTTGGGGGGGTTGGCGTAGGGGTCGTAGCCGAGCCTGGCGAGCATGGGGGCGATGTGGGCCATGTCCTGCAGCACATCCTCTGGGATGTGCCCGATCCATTTGGATAACGCCTCCATGTTCACCGGCTTGATCACCTGGTCTGTTGACCTCTCTATCCTGGGGAAAATAAAGGACAAAAAAAAGACACAATGGTCGGATTTCATGCGTGTGCTGGGCTCACACACAGCTCGCTGCCATCTCCACACAGAACCACAGGACAGGACCTTAAATCCCATCCCATCCCACTCCCTGCCATGGGCACAGATGCTTCCACTATCCCAGACTGCTCCAAATCCTGTCCCACCTGGCACTGGGCACTTCCTTGGATGGGGTAGCTTCTGTCCCTCACAGCCCTGCTCTGGGGAAGCAGACCCTGGCAGGGGGTTCCACAGCCCCAGAGGCTGGGTCCTCCTGTTTAGAATCATGGAATCATTAAGACTGGAAAAGCCCTCTAAGACAAGTGAGTCCAACCATTCTCCCAAGACTGCTAAGGCTACCACTGACCTATGTCCCCAGCTGCCACATCCACACAGTTTTTAAATTCCTTCAGGGATGGTGACTCTACCACTGCTCTGTTCCAATGCTTAATTACCCTTTCAGGGAAGGAATTTTCCTTTTTATCCAACCTAAACCTCCTCTGGCACAACTTGAGGCTGCTTCCTCTTTTCCTACAGGAGGGATGGATCCTGCACTGGGACAGGGGGTTTCAGCAGGACACCTCTCCTTATCAGAGGAAAACAACGTAAGATGTGTGGGCTGTAGCACAGATCAGTGACCCCTATGAATATTCAAAACCTGGTCTAAGCAACCTGGACCAATTTACTCTGAGCAAACAGGGAAGTAGAGCTGGCTGCACTCCCAGGGCATCCTGGAAAACTGGAGCAGCTGCACATCCCCCCGTGGCTCCTGTGCCCTCACCATCAGGGCACCAGCAACTGATACAGAGACTTGGATAATTCTCTTACACAGCTGATTAAATTTTGCTAAGCCTGACTTAAGCCTCCATTTAGAAACGAAACAGCATTAAAAGAGGAAAAGAAAGTGGGAGAAGACAAACACCCCTGCAAATGGAGAGGGCAGGAGTGAGTGCTGGGTGTGCCTCCACTGAGCAGGTATTGCTTTTATTCTGCAATACCAACCCCAGACCTAGCAAGAACTATAGCTCATCATCATTGGCAGCATAACTAATCACACCAAAGATGCATCTGAGGACGAGTGGAGAAAGAGGCATTAAAGAGCTCACGTTCCACAGTAAGCAGTTCTTTGCAAATTAGAGACTGAAATAATTTCTGCAGTGTCAAGAGAGATTAAACAGTCACCTGCTCCTGAAATCCTCGCTTGACAAGCTGTTCTGTGGAGTACAACAGATTAGGAGCATTAAAGCCATCTCTTACTTGGGAACACAAACCCCACTGCAGTACAATGTGCTGTCCCTCCTGCCCCAAAACCACACGCAAACACCAGCAATGCACCTCTGTCCCCAGTTTTAGCCTTTTTGCAATGAAAACTCCTCGAAAAGCTGAGGAAGGAGCCAAGACTCACTTGGAAAGGGACACCCCGCCGGGCTTCCCGATGAGCTCCTCGTGGTGCAGCACCGTGTCGCTCCAGGAGATGTCCAGGAACCTCATGATGTTGTGCATGGACTGCTCGGGGTGCAGCACCAGCTGCTCGTAGTAGACAGGCAGGCAGCGGGCGCGGCCGATCTCCAGGCACTGGGAATACATCACCTCGATGGCCTTGTTCCACTTGGTCAGGCAGTCCCGGTAGCTGTTGAGGTCGAAGCCGGCGATCGTCACCTTGCGCGTGATCATGGAGTGCACCGAGGCGCGCCCGTCCCGCACCATCAGCAGGAACTTGGAGTTGGGGAACAGCCGGGACAGGTACACCGAGGATTTGAGCGTGAAGGGGTCCTTGTTGCACAGGTACCTGGCGGGCTCGCCGTGCTTGGCGATCACTTCCAGGATGAAGGCCTGCATGGCCGCGTCCAGCACCTGGTCCGTCACCCCCGCCTCGTCCAGCCGCATCTTCTCGCGGCCCGACTTGGACCAGGCCTGGCGCATGGCCAGCACGCGGGGGATGATGCGGGTCTCCTCCCCGCAGCGCACCTCGGGGTGGGCGTCCAGCATGGCCCTCATCAGCGTGGTGCCGCTGCGGGGGACGCCGCCGATGAAGATCAGGGGCATGTCCTTGCTGTACCGGTACTCCACGTGGTTGGCGTCCACCATCACCAGCTCCTCGTTCTCCGGCCTCATCAGCCTGTGCCTCCTCTCGCTCAGGACCTGCTGGCACTCCAGGACCTGCTGCCCGAGGTGCAGGGTCACCATCAGGGCCGCCACCGAGCCCACCAGCAGCAGCACCCTGCGCGTGGTGACCCGCATCCTGCTCTCCTGGGCACAGGCTGGGGGCTTCAGCTCTCCGCTAGCGAGTGTCCAACCCCACGGGCATCTGCAAGAGAACAGCACTGTCAGAGCAGCGGGGCCAGCCCTGCTCTGATGGGATGCTGACACCATCCCAGATTTCATCACCTCCTTCACTTATCAGCACCTCCTTCACTTATCAGCACCTCCCAGGCTTGGTGCCCTACACCCAACAGGTAATTAAAATCTGTCTCAGTGCACACCCAAAGAGAGAATTTCTGCACTGTTTGTGCTCCCAGAAACACAGGTTACAGCTGGAGCAAAGCTCCAGGAACGTTTTGGAGAGGAGGAGCCCTGTATACTCAGGGAATCCTTAAAACAAAATCTTTACAGAGCCTGTTCCATCCCAGATGAAGCCCAGACCCAAGCTGAGGTTTTTCCTCCCAAACCCAAGTCAGCACTCCAGCACCGCTCACCTCTCAGCCACCTGCACCCTCCCTACATTTTGTTTAGTTTAACCCTGTGGCCACAGGGGAGGGGAAAACTGAAATAGGGGAAAAACAAAAGCCTCTCATGCCAGCTTTAAGGGTCTGAATCAGGAGAAACCGTTAGAATGAAATGCTGAGAAGTTCAACCACCTGAGAGTGAACAGCCACACGCAGCGTTCACCACCCTGCCCTGCCTCGCAAACTGACCTGACGGAGAAATCCGTGACACTTCATCTGGCACCGAGACTTTTTGGGGTTTTCCACGGCTCGGCAGGACATCCAGCAGGCAGGCTGCAGCTTCTGCAAGTGCCCAGCTCAGCTTGGTGCCTGGAGGGACTCCCGGGAATGCTGGCACCGCTTCCCACCCCCTCCCCCCCATCCGCCCCAGTTGCTGAGTGCAGGTTTTGCAATCCTCCCCTGGGCTCACCCCGGGATTTCCAGTTCTTTGTGATTATGTGGCTGGGGCAGGAGCTGAATGGAGTGGAAGGAACGGGCCGTCCATGGATTCTGTTTTGCTGACAGGCCAAAGAGCTGCTCCAGAAAAGCGTTTTCTCCCCTCCACGAGGGAACACATTGTGCAGCAGCCCAATGCGGAGCAGGGAGCAGGCAGGAGAGAGCCTGGAGCTGGGCAGCTTTCCTGCTTCTCCTGCCAGGCACTCAGGGACTCACTCTGCTCCCCCCTTCCAGTCCCTGACATCCCATTCCACCATCCTGGACAGCTCCCATCTACCCACCGGCTTTCATCCACCCCTGCCCAGGCAGTGCCTCTCTGCCAGCCCAGGGATGCCCTCCCCCATCCCAGCAGCACAGCAACATCACCACCAAAAATATTTTTGTGGCTCTTTACTCCCTGGTCCACCCTGACCAGCTGCTTGGTAACATACCTGAAGCTAAACAGCCTCAGCTGCATCCCCAGGTATGAGGTAAGGTGGGTGGATTTGTTGGGATGTAGATCAGAGGGACACCCAACAGCTTTGGCATTTCTGCAGCACCAAGCAGATCAGAGCCATTAACAAGACAAGTGCTGCTCCTTCCTGCTCTCTCATCTGTTTGTGTCATGTAAATATATTCAAATGTTCACCCCAAAATAATTGCAAATGCCACAAGACCCAGCTCAATGGATGGCAGAGGAGCAGGCAGGATTTAGGGCCAACTGGAATAATTAGGGCGATGCAGACAGAGACAGGCTAATTAGCAGCAAAGGCTGCATCGTGAAAGGAGACTGGAGCACAGAAGTGCTCTGTTCTCCAGGAGAACCAGCTGACAGGGAGCAGTTCCCACCGAGATGCTCCAGCAGCTCCAGCTGAGCTGCGGAGGGAACAAAGGGACTCTCATATTGTGTTCAATGGGGCTGCTTGCTGTGCCAGGAGAGGTTCAGGTCGGACATCAGGGGGAATTTCCCCGTGGAAAGAGAGGTCAGGCCTTGGGAGGGGCTGCCCAGGGAGGTGGTGGAGTCCCCATCCCTGGAGGCGTCCCTGGAACGCCTGGACACGGCACTTTGAGCTGGTGACAACCGGGCACGGGTTGGACTCAGGCTGGATGGTCTGGGAGGGCTTTTCCAACCTGAATGATCCTGGAATTCTGGGAGTCCCTGGCAACTACTGGACAGGCAGGGACACAGCCCCCTCTGCTCCCACCCAACGCCACCAGCATGGGAAGCTCCCACTCCGTGTGGAGAGTGGGAAAGGCAGGTGTTCACAGGAGCATGGCTTCTCCCCACTGCTGAGCACTGGACTCTGGCTCTGCCCCTGCACAGCAGCCCCTGGCCCTGGGAGGGCTGGATTGGGACAAACCTCTTTGTTGAGATCACCCCAATGTGCTGGGAGGGCTGAACACACCCAGAGCGTGCCTGGCCGCAGGCCGGGGCAACCGCAAACAGCCCAGCTGGTTCTCAGCTCTTTTGTGCAATTCTCCACTGAGAATTTCCTAAAATTTATGGGCCTCATTAGTCTGTGAGGGAAGACGGATGGGTCATTTCCTCCCCAGCAGACACTGTGCTGGAATCATGGTGTAATTAGGTGCAGGGCTGTCTGAGCAGACACAGCCCTTCCAGGGACAACACCCTTTCAGATACCCAAGCTGGCTTTGAGAGCTTCCCACTCCAGCAGAAATTAGGGAGCTGTCAGAGGCTATTCTGGCAGGGAATGGTGACATGGGAGCAGAAAGCAAAGTGCCAGCAGCAATCCAGGGCTGAAGCCCCTGAGTGCAGCTTGGACATGGCAGGACAGGGATGTGACACAGGGCCAGGGGCTCTGTCCCTGGCCAGCATCAGGGCAAGGCTGCCACCCAGAGCATGGAGTAGGATGGGAACCAGTGGGGAAGTGACAGCAGAGTGACAAGAGGTCCTACAGGCAGCAAGTCTTCCCTATTCCCATGCAGATGGGACTTGAGCATGAACAAGGCTGATACCGTGTCGTGCCAGCTTGTGAAAGCAACACAGGATCAACAGGGCACAGCGGTGGTGTGGACAGATGTGCAACATCATCAGACAGATGTGCAGCAGCCACCCAGCATCCCAGGGGAACCACACATCCAGCTGCTTGCTCTTACCTTTTCCCTGTACGGTCATCGTGCTGCTAGTTGAGCTTCATGCTGAACCCGTGGCCACCAAAACACCTGATGGGGAAGAGAAGCCACAGCGTTGACTTGTTTATTTAGCACACACATCTGCTCTCCTCCTCAGCACCTTCCCCTCCTCCCCACAGCCTCCTCTGAGCCCCGGGGAAAGGTGTTCCTGCTGGATCTGGTGTTCCCAGCTCATGGTCAGCACTGGCAGCTGGACTTGGTAGAGCTGCTCTGAGACACCAGCACTGCTCACAGAGCACAGCCAAGCCAGGACACACAGAGGGAAGCAGCAGGGCAGCTGCTCTTTTAGGAAATGCAGCCTCCTGGAAAGGAGAGGCCTCAGGGGGACCCGAGTAGCCTGGATGTTTAAAGCTCAGAGGATGACAATCCAGCTGGGCACGATTCCAGCACACACCGACCGGCACAACAGCCTTGACCAGAGGAAGCAGCTCCAGACTCGCCTGCTGGAAATGCTGATATCAGGCACACGTCAGACTATGACCAGAGCCCCCAAATCAGTGACAGTGAAAGGAGACAGAGCCCAGAGGACCTGCAGGCCTAGCACTCCTCCTGGCTCCAGCCCAAGGAACAAAGTTCTCTCCAGCCTCACCACCTGCCAAGGCAGCAGCACCAGTACATGCATGGAAATCCCTCCAGGCTGGGAACCAAACCCCTGGACACTGGATTTCCCACAAGGATTGCTCCATGCCAGGGAGCACAGCAGCTTTGGCTGAAGCCCTCCTGCAATCACAGAGCATCCTGGGGACAGTCTGGGACATGGAGCTGCAGCAGAGCACCCCGAGGGTCCAGGACCTGGCGGATCACCAGATGTCACTCTGCTCCCAGGATCACAGCATGGACATGGGACTATCATGGGGTCACTGCTGCTGGGACATTCCCAGTCAGCTCCCCCTGGCTGTGCAGCAGGTCCCAGCCTCGCAGGCTGTCCCTGAGAACATTTTCAGTAGTGACACTGATGGCTATTCCAGTCTCCTCTCCTGACATCGAGTGTCACCGGCCCCTCCGCCTCAGCACTAAGGAGAAACCAGAGGGAAACTCCACCCAACAGGAACTCTACAAGGGCTTATCTGCAGTGCAGGCGCTTCCCCATGAGGCTTCCTGCTCAGCCTGGCCTCTGTGGACTGCAGGATTCCAGCTCCAGACCAGGCTGCAGCTCCACAGAGCAGCAGCTGCATCCCTGGACGTGCTTCTGCAGTGCCCCGAGCGCTGAGGTGCAGGGGCAGAGGTGGTCCCACAGCCCACCCAACTCACCCCGCTCCAGAAACAGCTCCAGCTCCTGCCCGGGCACAGACACACCGACAGACACACAGACACGCACTTGTTTGTGACTTCCTTCCTGATGCTGTGCAGGGCGTCACCACCAGCTGGGCTCCAACAGCTCCGACCAAAACCCCAACCAAAACCCCTGAGGGAAAGCCCTGACCTTGGCACCTGCACTGGGAACGGGTAAAACCCAACCCCGGAATGGCCCCCGTGCCAGCACAGCACCCTCAGCAGTGCGGAAACACTTTTTGTTAAAGCGTTACAAACAACCACAGAAACAGTTTTTGCGAGAAGCCCCATAAGACCAAAAGCTGAATTTTTCTTTAAACCATTCCCAGAAATTATTGCCATTAAGTGTAGCCTCCCCAAAAGACGTAGGTGTGGCCTGGAAAATTTGAGCTCAATTTGTTGGTGATTAATAAAGGGATGAGGCACTGCAGGCGCCCTTGTGGCGGAACAGCAGCAGAAACCGTGGTCAGCAAGAAATGTCCCAACACATCCAACTCACATCTTTGCAAATCAGCAATATTTAATTACTGAATTGATAGTCTCCAGTTCATTTACAAAAATAAACACAGCTTGCCTGAGGGCCACTGCTTCATCTCAACCTGAGCTCAGTTCAACGCTGGCACTGCTGATGGCAGCTCTGCTCCTCCTGCACGCTCCTGCTGGCAACTCGAACAGCACATTTCCAAACACTTCCCAGGTATCTCTCTTAGCAGGACTGGAATGCAGCGAGCATGGAGCATGGGGCATGGAGCATGGGCCAGCCCCAGACTCCACCAGGAGCACACAGAGGCACCACCGGGGTGGCTGTGGTCACTGAGTGCAGCGTCAGCCCTGTTGCACAACCCCCAGCTCCTGCTCCTCCACCCCAGCGCTGCACAGACCGGGATCGATCCCATGGGATGGTGGGAACAGAGTCCAACCCGCCCATCCCAGTGGTGGGACAGGGGCTCTGCACCTACCTCTGCTGCAGGTGTGCCATGGCCCTAAGCCTTGGAGAGAAGATATGAAAATTAAGCTGCAGCACTCAAAAAAAACCCTCCCACAACAACAAAAAAAGAAGCTGCTGTCAACCACCACGTGGCGAGAGCAGCACCACTGAGAGCAGGATGGGTTTGGTGACTAAAATTGAAGTTGCACTGTAGGTCATGAACCCAGGGCATCCAGTGCAACAGAGGCCAACTCCAGTGAAAATATAATCAATCCCAACAAAAACACCTGGGGTCTGGCGCACTTTGGAGTTCTGTGTCCCTTGGAAAATCCCCAAACAGCACTGACAGCCCTGTGGTTTTCACTTGCACCGCCGCCATCATCCCAGGGAAAAATAACAGCCAAAAAGAGTTCAGGGATGAGTATTCAAGCAGTCACCTCAGCACCCAAACCACACAGAGGCTCCTCCAGCTGCATCTTAGCACCCAACAGGCTCAGGGGACAAACGGGAATTTATTTTCACTACTGGGTACCTAGAAAATAAACCAGCAGAACCTGCTGCCCCTGAGGATTGAGGCAGCGTGTGCCAGCTTCAAACACTTTCTGGCTCAGAAAAGCCTGCAAGGTGAGAGCCCTGAGCCACACCAATCATTCCAGCAGAGCATCCTTTCTCTGATCCCAAAGAGCCCAGCCAGGGATAGGGGCACTGTGTGCCAGCCAGCTCCAACAGGCCCTAAATCACATCAGCAGAGAATCCACAGACATTGCACAGCACAAACAGACTGCTGGTTTATCACCTCAAGGCTGTTATGATTAGCAAAACATTTTATTATCCTGATCAACGGTACAATGTTCCTCAAACAAGAAAAATCCCACCAATTTACAGTAAATCCCCTCCACCCATCCCTCATTCCAAGCACGGCAACAACTTTTTATCGTCGGGAGAAGGAAACCTCAGCACTCACCCTGCCAACCTCGCAGGGACACGGCCTTCAGCTCAGAGTGGCAGATTAATTATGGAATTCCCAAGGGGAAGGCTGCTGGCAGGACACAGGGATGGAGGCACCTACCCATTCCCCAGCACCTGGCACTGTGTCCCTGCACAGCAGCAAGGCTCCAGCACGTCAGACACGCTTGTGCTGAAATGGGACACGAGTTCTGCACTTCAGAGGGAGCTCCTGACTTTTAATTAACCCACAGAGCATCACCCTTTCTTAATTACTCTGCAGTTGCTGCCTCAGGGGGACAAAGGCAAAGCCAGCACAAGTCCACTGATGGTGACATTGCCACGCTGGTTCCCCTTGTGCCCTGACCAGTGACTCCACTGTCTGCTGGAGGATGGGGCTCTGGGAAAGCACTGAGATCTCCCTCAGCTCCTCTTGCCCAGCCAACTGTGGCTGCCCATCCCTGGAAGTGTCCAAGGCCAGGCTGGATGGAGCTCTGAGCAACCAGGTCTAATGGAAGGTGTCCCTGCCCATGGGGGTAGAAATAGATCTTTAAGATTCCTTCCAACTCAAACCATTCCACGATTCTGTGACAATTCTGTGATTCTTGTCCATGCTTCTGATCAAGTCACTCCAACTCTCAGCCCTCGTTCAGAGTATGTCCTGGGGATCCCCATGGCAGAGGGGCAGTGGGTGAGGGGAGCCGAGGGTTGCACACCCCCGTTTACTCACCACGCTTGATGCAAACACAGCTCCTCCCTCACAAAACTCCAGAAATATTCCCTTGCAGGAATGTGGGTGGTCAGAGCCTGCCACATAACAGGGAGGAAGAGAAGTCAGAGGAACTGCTAGAAAAAACACCAAGTATCTTCAAAAAATATTTTCTCAATCCACACGCCAAACCCTAAGTCTCAACAAGCTCCATTCTTGCATGCACAAAGATCAGGATCTGCAAATAAAAAATTGTTTCTGCAAGACAAACCCCAAAACCTCAAATTTGCTTAAGAAACACAATCAAAGTGTTTTATTTCCTCATGCAGCAGCAGCAGCAGCAGCAGCCCTGGAGGCACTGCCTGAGGGTAGGGCAGAGCAGCAAGGACGGAGGTGCCACTGCTCACCTTGCAGGCAGGAAGGGGAGAGGGGACACTGCTCCCCATCTTCCCCAGCTCCTCTGCTCCTTCTTGTCCTGTTTCCTGCAGCTCCCTCAGGAGCACAGTCCTGAGCATGGATCTCCAGCAATGCCCAGAATAGATGCCATAAAGGCAAACATTTGGCGTCTCCACAAAGCCAGAAACTTTGGGAAGCACCAGCGCCCACTTCAGCCACGTGTGTTTGTGGCCTCCCACTCCCAGCCCCCACGAGGACGGGCAGTGACCACTCCCAAGCCCTGGCATGGGTGAAACCGATGGAAGAAACGGAACCGGGTCCTCCCGAGCCTGCGCCACTGCTGCCTCGTCAGCCAAACCACCCTGCAGGGCACATCCGAGCGCCTTCCTGCTCCTCCTCTGCTGCCGCTTGCATCTGCAAACGCTGGCCACCAAGGCCTGTGCCCCGAGTGCTGGCCTGCAGCCAGCTGTGAGCACAGCTGGCTGAATGGGGGGGCTGTTATCCCACCCCCCTTGCAGCTCAGCACTGCCAGCAGCAGCTGCTCGCACCACAGGATCCCTCCCAGCACCGAGCAGGAACAGCAGTGCTGGAAAAGCTTCTCCTGCCCCAGCACAGCAGCCTCTGGCTCTGGAGCCAACATGCCTGTGGGCATTCCTCCGTGGAGAAGCACCTGCATGCTTCAGCCCCTCCAGAGCCCCCATCTGGGGTCACTGCCTGGGAATGTGCTGTGGGAAGCAGCCGCTTGCTTCACTTCCGAGCGCTGCACGTTGAGCAAGCCCCGCTGCTGCTCTTGTTTGGTGTCCCTGGGAGGACACAAGGGGCTCCTGTGGCAGGGCCCCCCTCCTGCCTGCACTCACACCGTGAGGCACACAGCACGCACTGGGGACAAAAATGGGGCAAAAAGGCATCGCTGGCCTTGTGAGAGAATTCCTGCAGGAATTCTGGAGGCAGATAGGGCTTGGGAAACAGAGTGAACCACAGCAGGCAGGCGGTACCAGGGCAAGCTTCTCCGGGGTTGTGTGCCCGCTGCCTGTGGAGTCTGGAGGGAAACGTGCTCGGCCAAGGCATGAGGCTGAGCTTCCTCAAGGCATCACAAATTCATCACAAGGCGCATCTGCACGGTGCCAAAAAAAACCACCTGCTGGGGGTTTGTTTTCTCTCTCCAAAAATCTTCTTGACAGTCCCCGCGTTTTAACAGCGCTCCTGCCATCCCACACATTCCCAAAGGCTCAGCGTACCCAGAGTGCAAACTGCCTTTGGAAAAAGCTCCTTAAAATAGCGACAGAAATTATTAATACAGTTCGTAAAACCTACAGGCAGAGGATGGCCGTGGCATGAGCCTGCCCATGCTGGTGAGCCCACCAGTGTGCTGCAGAGACCCCAGGCCTCAGCCTGCCACATCCCCTCCCAGTGAAGCCCCCCAATCCAGCTGCTGTGGGCAATACTGGGGAGGACTCACACAGTGCCCAGTTCAGCTGCTGTCCCCCAAATTCCAGGCTGCCTCTCTCGTGTGCCTCTGCACAGACCTTGGGCTCCCCTCGGGCTCTGCAGCACAGCTGCTCCTGTGGTGCCACACGCAGCTGCCACCGGCACGCGATGGCAAACCCCGCTCAAACCCCGCTCGCAGGCGCCCGCCTTGGTACTTGACAGCTCCCCACGAGCACCCTGCAGCATTCCCACAAAACACACGGCAAATCTGGAAACCTGTTGGCACCAATCATTTGGATCTCCCCACTCACCGTTGCTCGGTGCCTGAGCAGGAGGGAGCAGCACGGCCTCGCCTCCCAAAACCGAGGCCGAGCAGCCAGCGGGGCCTGGCACAGGGAGGCGTCTGAAGGGGTTTCAAGCTGTGAGATGACTTTTGGACAGAGCCCGAACATGCAAACAAACACAGAGAGGGACAGAGCAAAGGCCTCTGTGATGCAAACCATCCCCTGCCTGAAGAGGAGGGAAGCCCAGCTCATGCTGCCAGCCCTGGTGCCAGCAACTCCAGCCACGAGTCCCAAGGAACTTGAGCTGGACAAAGTGTGGATGTCACATCCCTGCCACACAGGGCACAGTAACTGATGGGCACTGCCAGGAGAGTGCCAGTGCTTTGCATGGGCTGCAAGGTACCAATGCAGCTGCTCAGGAGCCCGTCTGCACCCCCTGACAAGGGACCCACATCCTAAAGCCACCCCAAACTTGGTGCTGCCAACACCTCTCGAGCCTCAGCAGAGACTGACGCTGCCTGAGACCCAAAGGTGCAGCCTCTCACTGTGCACCCATCCTGCCCAGGCCACCACACTCATCCTGGTAGAGAAGGGCAGTCCCAACCCTGGCTGAGCTCTGGACAGATGGACAGACAGACAGCCTCAGCCCATGGGTGCCTCTGTGCACGGCAGTGATCAGGCTATGGGGGCACAGCTTGGTGCTGGGCACCCAGAGGGGTGCCATGGGAGGGGGGAGAGGGCACCGTGTGCCAGAGAGCAGAATGGGAGCACAAAGGTACGAGGAGAACGCTGCACTGAGCACCTTGTCCCACCTGCCGTGCATCCTGCACTGCGTTCTGTGCACTGAGCACCCTGCGGCCACCCCAGCACCCCCTGCACTGCACTGAGCACCCTGCACCCAGCACCCCCTGCACTGCACTGAGCACCCTGCACCCAGCACCACTCTCTGAACTGAGCACTGAGCATCCTGTACTGGGCATCCAGCGCTACTCTGAGTATCCTGCACCGAACACTGGAGCACCCAGCACCGCTCTGCATCCCCAGCACCACGCACCCAGCACCACTCTGTGTCCCCAGCACCTTTCTGTGTCCCCAGCACCGAGCACCCAGCACCGCTCTGCATCCCCAGAACCCTTCTGTGTCTGCAGCACCGCTCTGTGTCCACAGCACCGAGCACCCAGCACCGTTCTGTGTCCCCAGCACTGTTCTGTGTCCCCAGCCCCGCTCTGTGTCCCCAGCCCCGAGCACCCAGCACCGTTCTGTGTCCCCAGCACCGCTCTGTGTCCCCAGCACCGAGCACCCAGCACCGTTCTGTGTCCCCAGCACCGCTCTGTGTCCCCAGCACCGAGCACCCAGCACCGTTCTGATCACGCATCACCGCCCGCTATCCCCAGCACCGCGCACCCCCCGCACTGCGCACCGAGCATCCTCCGCCGCTCCGCGCTCCGCTCGCTCCGCCCGCGCCACCCACCGAGCCCCGAGCCGGTACCAGCCACCGCCCGCCGGTACCGGGGACCGCCCGCCGCGCAGCCCGGCCGCTGTCACCTGCCGGCCGGCGCGGCCGGGGGGACAAACAGCGGGGACACAGGCGGTACCGGGGCCGGGCCGGGCCGGGTCGCTGTCCCCGGTGTCCCCCCGCACTCACTCACCGGGGCCGCCGCCGGCCCGGAGCGGCGCGAGACGCGGCGACGTCACGCGCACGCGGGGCCGGGATCCCCGCCCGCCGCTCCGCGCGTGCGCCGCGCGCGCCCGGCACCGGGCGGCCCCGCCGGGACCGAACCCGGGACTGAGCCCGAACCCGAACCCGAACCCGAACCCGTGTCCCTGCCCCTGCCCGTGCCGGTACCGGCCGTCCCCGCGAGTCGCCGGGCGAGTTATCCACGGCCTCACCGTTATCCCCGGTCCCGGTGCTGCCTCTGTGCAGCGCTGCCGTCGCTGCTATCGCTGTAATTAATCACCGCCGTCGCTAATCAGCGGCGTGCGAGCGCGGGGAAATGCCACCCGAGGTGCCCCACCGGCAGGGAAAAGGGGGATGAGGCCGCAAAGAAGTGCCCGATGGGGAGGGACAGCACCCGAGGAGGGGAAAAAAAAACTCCTTGAAAGTGAATTGATCATTGATTGACTGCAATTTCGGCTGTTAATTAGTGCCCAGTGGATCCCGCGGTCGTGGGCAGAGCCGGGAGCCCGCCCTGATTCCGCGGCTCCCGGGGCATCCCGAATCACCAAAATGAGAGGGTCCCCACGGGGGCTGCAGGGCCTTTGCCACCCCTTTCCCCCGCACCGAGGGTCTCCTGTGTCCCAGCCCCAGCAGGGACCAATTCCCTGGCCAAACCCCCCTCCCCCGTGTCCCACTGGGCTCCAGCACAAGGCTGGCACACCCCGGGCAAGCGGAGCCGCGTTCACACACCACAGACCCCCGAGCGGTTCTAATCTTCTGGTTTTTTTTTAATTTGCCTCACAAGGTAGAGTACATCCAGGGAATGTGCAATGTACAAGGAAAGTGCTGGCGGGCGAGCGCGAGGGGAGGCGGGGGTGCCCCACGGGGCCCGGGACTCGTAGCTAGCAGGCGGCACGCTCAGTCGGAGGGCACGTCGGGGGTGACAAAGGTGCCCTTCTGGTCCCACTGCATGTCCCGGATGCGGCGGATGGACTGGATCTGGGGCTGGAAGGCAGACCACTCATTCCAGTGTCGGAAGTCTCCGGTCTCAAACAGGTACTGGTAGCCTCTGTAGCCAGGGTACTGGTACCCGACCCAGCTGGGGGAAAAGCAAACACAGGGCACCTCAGCAGGGTTGGCTGCTCCAAGCAGCAGCCACATGGCTGGTGGGCGCTTGGAGGGCCTGCAGGGCCTCTCTGGGCTGGCCAACAACCTCTGAGGGACGGGTCATACCACTAGAAACAGCCACGCCACCCAAAACTGCCATGCCACCAAAACCAACCATGCCACCAAAACCACCCATGTCACCAAAACCAGCCATGCAGCGTTTTCTGGCTGCCTGAGAGCCCGTGGCAGCCAGCTGGGGAGGACAGGGATCCTGGCACGAGGCAGATGCCACTGCAGCCCAGCTTACGTTCCACTGGGCACCTGCACGCTGCCCACGCGATCGCAGAAGCCATAAGCCCAGAGGCTGGGCACGTCGTCCTCCTGGATTTCCATCTTGTTGCCCTTGAAGTCAGCAGACTCATAGAGGGAGATTTTGTGATCCTCAGCCTCCTGGGGAAGACAGAGGGAGGGTGCTGGGCAGTGTGGCCGAAGCCCTGGAGCTTTGCTGCAGCGAGGCATCGAGCAGCACAGCCCAGTCCTGGGCAGGCCCCAGCAGAGCTCTCTGCTCCCAGGCACTCACCATTTTGATGGGACGCATGGACATGAAGCAGTCGCTCCGGTAGCTGCTGGACCAGGTGTCCCAGCGAGGGTACTCGCCCTTCTCCAGGATGAACATCTCCCCACGCATGTTGGCCTGCTCATAGGCCACCCAGCTGGGGAGAGAGGTGGGTATAGAGCAGTCAGGTGCCACCCAGCAGTTCCCCTCCTGCTCAGCCAGCTTGCAGGACAGTGGAGGGGTCTCCAAAAAGGCTGTGGCCCCACCACCCTGCTCCAAATTTCTCCCAGCCTAGGCACTGTGGCTCAGCACTCTGCTGTCCCCCTGCCTGGGCTGTGCAATCCACGCCTCACTGCCGGGAGTGGGGCTCCCTCCTCTGCAATGTCACCTCTCCAGCAGAGCCACGAGGTGCTGCGGTGCTGGAATGTCATGGGTGTGGGGCTCCAGGAGCCCCTGGCACCACAAGAGTCCTGCATTTGCTGCTTCCCCTTTCTCTGCAGAGCAGCTCTTCCTGCAAACGCCAGCAGGGGTTTTCCTGCTGGCAGGAGATGTGTTCAGGCACCCCAGGCTGCGCAGCCTCAAGCTGGCTGCTAAAGCTCACCGTGGTTGTTTTGCTTTCATCTTTTCCTAAACACATTTTTGGGTGCAGAGTCTCCTCAGTGACTCTCAATAAGCTTCTAAGGTCCCAAACAACACCCATGTTCTCTGTCCTCCCAGTTTCACCCTTTCTATGTCTGGTGCAGTTTCCCAGGTATCATATCTGAGCTCCTTCCAGGCTGTTCCATCCCCCATTTATTTCAAGAAGAGTTGGATATTCTGGATTCCTAACAAAAAGGTAATCTGTGCTTCATGATGTCATTCCAGGTCACTCCCAATCCCCCAGGGATGCTGTTGGGACCAGCCATGTCCTGTGCATCCTCCCCACAGCACTACCAGCCCCCCTGCATTCCTGGGGATGCTGTTTCCAGCCGGGCACAGCACGGTGGGATGCTCTTTCAACATGAAGATCATCTGTCTGCCCAGTTATCTGCTCTGGGGATCATTTTTGTCCCTGCCTGTGTCAACTGTTCCCACGGCTTTGAGGCCTGCCCAGCCCCCTTGCTGCTGCTCGGCTGCCTGGGTGCAGACATGTGCTTGTCTCCCTGCCTGTGCCAGCCTGATCCAAGAATCCCACCTCATTTCACCTTGACTTCTCTAAAATCTGCAGCTCCCTTGTATTCCATGGACAGCTCCAGGTGGCTGAAATGATGGACACGTTTCCTCAGCCCTTGGCTTCGCCTCTGGTGCCCTTTGCTTTGCATGTGGCCCTGGCATCCTTCCCAGCCATCCTGGCCCTCCTGTCCTCCTCAAAGGAGATCCTGGATGCCCGCTCTGCTCCTTTGCTGGCCCAGGCAGCAGGGAAATGGGAATGCCCCCGAACATCACATGGTACCCAGGGTGCCCCCAGGGCCGTGTCCCCACCCACCAGGAGCATCCCCAGGGTCTCAACCCTCCGTGGCTGGGCTCACTTACGGTCCAGAG